CTATGCGTATCGCATGAATAGATCGCCCTCCCAGTCTTGCGCTCGAGTGCTTGTGTCGTCGTCTTTTTGGTGCTCTCTGTGGGACAAAGACCTCTAGAATCGTTGATCAGCCTTACTTTTTGCTCTTAGACCATGGCCATACACCTATTTCTTACAAAGTACGTAGTAGTACTGTTTTTCTCTTCTACGATGTCCTCGTAGTAAAACTTCAATTCTCTGCCTCATATTTCTACCCGGTAGGCCCCTACCTTGGCCTCTACCTGCCCTGTTGCGAATTGGACCCGGGGATCCCATGTTTCCGAAGGGGAAATTTTGAACCCGTCTCTGAAGTTACCTTCTGCACAGCACTCAAATGTCACTTGGGAGTTACATTAGTAAGTTGGCGAGTCAATAAAGGGCAGTTTTAAAAGCGCCTAGTCGTCAATCATTTGGTTTTAACGGGCTTGCAAACAATACTTTACTTACTAGTAGACCATTCCGAGCAGTTATTGTCGCCTAGGATAGCAGCACTATGACTACGACTACACACATAGCTGCTGATACGTCATCGGCAGTTGCTACGAAGACATTTTTCCGTTTGTAAAAACCCCCAAGGGAAAATTTGTCGATCTGGCAGTAAAGCGAATCGGTAGAGTAAGATTTGGGATGTAGATTAACAAAAATTTTAAAAGATTTATGTAATGTGGTGGTGGTGGCTGAAAAGTTCCCGTCGATCTCTGGAAAAAGTGCTGACGAAAATCATCTCCTCAAGTTGGTTCCCTTAGGGCCAAAGAAATGCAGTGAAATGACGAGCCACCAGTCACTGTCTAGCCTCACACTGGCCCCCCTCAGAATTCACTTGGTAGAGACCCAATGTCGTTGTCGTTGCTTTGTCGACATCGACATCGTCGTCGTCGTCGTTGTCGTCGTCGTCGTTCAACTTTATCGAATGCCATCGGTTCGTCATTTATACTGCTGCCATATGGGTACCGGCCACATAATGAAATCTGAGCGAAAGCAATGTCGATTTTCCTTTTCAAGTAACGTCCAAAAAGAGGGCAGTCATCGAAAGATGGCCTACCCCAAGAGTGCTTTTGGAGCGGCCCTTCAAATCATCATCTTTCCTACCAGTTACCTGCTCATTTCACTTGAAATTAGTACCTGTTCCTGTTCGTAAGAAGCTCATGCAAATGCCATTATTATGCCTTACTTGTTGGTAATTTACTTTACTCATGTCGACAATTTTTTTCTGTTCGAAGGAAAGGCCCCTATTGAGCTTTCAACTTCCAGCAAGTTTCAGTGCCCCATCGGTACCGTAGACCTCCCTTGGCATAATGCCATTAACACATTGGCGCCGGTAAACTTACTATCGGAGCTTTTCGTTTTTAGCCGAACATATAAACACTCTAAATGCTGTAAACAATTGATGGCCACTCCTCATTTCGACCCAATTTGTGCATGCGACGGCTCGTGTAACACGTCTATGTACCAGTACGATTACTAATACTCTCATAGGATGTTTCTGTAATTCGATATTACTCGTTATCACTTAGGCTTACTTCCAAATACAATACTGGATATACTGTAAAGTTTAGGATGTATCCTATTGCACTTCTTCAACAGTAGTGCAGTGAATTGCGATGATCATGCTCGTCCAATTGTTTGTACGACTCTTCAAGTTTCCACGCTTCCAGGTAACTTATATAACTTACTTATTCAATCTATCTGGTAACAAAAGTTTTGTCAAAGAAAATCGCATGCACATTGATGAATTAGGCACTTCAACTAATGGGGGAGCTGAGCTATTCTTTATGGGAATTGCATGGAAAATTCTTGAAGGGGGAACAACTGGGAAAATGTGATGCTGTTTTGCTGATTTTCGTTTGATTCGTTCACCATAGAGAAAATTTCCGGTATTTTTCGATTGTTTTCCGATAATTCCATGAAAATTCAGCATTTTTTCCAATAAACGCCCCAGCAAGCAATAAAGGTGATGGTGGGGGCAATACCGACTTTCACGTTCATCCTCTTCTCTTCTGCTTTTCAGACTGAACTGATCTACAACTTCGTTTAACTAGTTCTGATTAGCAACCAAATTGGCTTTTTCTTAACTAGTTTAGGAGAATGAGTACTATGTAGTACCACCAAAAGCCCTCTGAAGTTGTTATTGAAAGATGATTGATTCTCGGTCCCCCCTAAAAGACATCGATCTCAGTTATTGCTTGCCAAAAGTACTTTCCAGGGGAAAATCCCAATCGGGAAGCGAAACCCAGCCAATCCAGCGATCCGGGCTGAGGGAGCTACTCCTACAGAAACTTAAATATCCGAATACTGCCAGTACTAAGGCCTCTCTAGGTCTGTAGGTCCCGTTAAAAACTATTTAACACCTGGCCCTATCCCATCCCCCCATCCATGTACACTGGGCTTTTTACGACGCACACCAGTTGATTGTGCCCCCCTAAGCTTTTCTCATTATCTCACTACGGGTGGGTTCAGCTGGGTGCTGCGACGAATCAATAATGTTTTAATGGTATTTCAATAGTAAATGCTTGTGGTCACTGGTCAAATCCCCCTTCTACGGGACTTCATGTGTCGTTCCTAATTTTCTCTTCGTACATTTCGTATACACCGCTCCCGTGTTTCCCGCCCAACCACAATAACTACTTGAGACGAGCTCTTCCTCTAGGTTGCCGGTTTACCGTATGATTACACCGAATCATGGGATCCTGCCAAGACCACCCTTTCATTTACAGCATACATTTGACTTTTTTATTTCATACTCCTTTACAATTCCGTGTATTTTGGCTGTTTTCTTCATTGAGATGAAGCATTCCAATGAGAAAAACCATATAAAANGCCGATCTATCTCACTTCTAGTCTCATCACTCTTAGCCGAGTCAGTGAAAGCTATGATGTCAGCCATGCCAATTCCAAACACACTCGCCCTTGCTCGTACATCAAATCCCAGCCCCACTGGATCTGCATGATAGGCGAAACCCCTTTTCGAAACACTATTTTCTATGTTCTCTCATGTTCTCAAAGTTTCCACACTATCTTCCACCGAAATCTTTTTGCACCCAAATGGTGTACCTAAAAAGCTTTCCGCCGTCACCATCTCACCAATTCCCACCCATCGAGCCACCATGCGATACATTAAACACAGTCGGCATCCGAAATCATTTTTAGCTGTTTTCAATTTCAGTTTCCTCATATGCACAACCTTCAGCAGAAGAGCAGATTTGAGGTATCGGTCGGTATTGCGGAGTATTTTAGGCTCTGTTAGTAGATTGTAAAAAGTGGTACAATGCCATTAAATCAATAGTAGTAGGCACTTGTATACGGTACTAATTTTATTTGGGTAATTAGTTGTTTTTTTTGTATTTAGAAAGCGAAACCGTTTACACTTCACTGCTCTCTGCTCCTACTCGTACTCGTGTACGCCTTCGCCGGTGGTGCAATCTTCAATCGTCTTGAAGCTGAAGCACTACGACGTCATCAAGAGGATACTCGTAACGAGAAGATTCGTTGCGTTCTAAAGGTCCTCTACTGCTTATCGTGTTGTTTTCTTTAACTAGTAAGTACCCACAATCGATAGAACGGCATGATCAAAAGCCCGCTTTCGCCCATATAAAAGCTCTCCAGTGACTATTGCAGGGCAGTGAATTATCAGCAGTGACAAGTAGGCACCCAGTGAAGGACCCGTGAATCACAATGTTTACTACCCTCCTCCACCATGCATTTTTTATCATATCACATGATTTTTGGTAATCATTGCTTGTACTTTTGCATAGCGATTAATATTCGTGCTATTCACGGGCTGTCAGTACTCCTGCTCTCTGAACGGCAATCGATAATCGTACCACTTGGTCGCATACCGGTACTTTCTTTGATCTTCAGAAACAAACAGGGTTACTTGAGACACCCCTTTTTTGGTTTTTGGAGATAACACTCTCTCAGAGGGA